AACGAACACATGTTCCCATGTCTCGGCATGCTAGCAAGACAAGTGTTATCCGTTCCGGCATCAACCGTAGCAGTTGAACGAGAATTCAGTGCTAGCGGCAACATTCTAACCGACTTTCGAAGTTGTCTTAGCGCTGAATCTCTTGAAACACTGGTTTGCAACCAAGATTGGCTCTTGGCAAGACGTCGAGCTCAAGAGTCATCGTACCTACTCGAATCGGAGCATTACATGAATGCAACAACAGATGGAAGTCCGAGTTCTGAAGAATAAGGGTTTATGTTAATGTAGATATGTAATTAGTTTTTTTAGGTGAGCGATATATAAGCTCCTTCGAGGGTTTCTTTACGGTTCTTTACCTCGTCGCTTTTTTTGAACCGTCAGTATATTAAATGTGGTTGTTCTTCAGTTAGTGTATTATTCATTTAAAATATTTAAATAACAACTACATTTTTAGATTTTTTATTTCATTCTTTCCTTAAACAATTGCAAATTTACAATTTTATACTTTAAAAATTTTAAAAAAAGCAAAAAAAAAATATAGGAGGGGGGCTGAAACCAGCCGGTCCGGGAACCGGAACCGGTACCGGCCAGCACGGTGACGGGGTTCCGGTGACATGGGGTGGCGGTACCGGAACCGGCGGTTCCGGAACCGGAACCGTACCGTGTCCACCCCTACATAAACGATGTTTTTGTCCGACTTTTACGATGTTTAAGAAAAGTGAAAATGCTATTCCGTATTATTATACGGATTACGGAGTATAAGAATTTTTGTAGAGGAACTAAAGGAGAAGAATTGCGAGTCATTCTTTTATTGCTTTAAAAATAAAGTAATAAAGAATTTTTAGATTAACAAGAAAGAAAAGAGAAGTTTTTTATGAGAAAACATTATATGCAATGGTCTGCTCCTGGTAGAGTAGATTTGTTCTTTATTTTTGCTCCCTCTGTTCATCAAAACGGTCTAATAAGAGAAGATGCATGTTCTTGTTTATGTCGCTCGGGAGACGGCCAACTTTGGACACATAATGAAAATAGAAAGTGGACAACTAAATTCGAGGAGAAAGAGAAGCTACTTCCTGCCTTTCATGTTTTGTTTATGTGTGCAATAAAAAATAATTGGGTTTCTTTAAGAAGCCCCCCCTGGTGCATTGCAGAAGGAGCTTTGGTTGATGGTCTCTTGTACTTATGACATTCGCACGCAATGGGCTGACAATTTGGGAAATTCATTATGTTTTAGGGTCCGTTTGGTGTATGGAATTGATGGAATTGGAATTGAATTCGAATTGAAATTTCATGAGATTCAATTCCATAGAATTGAATTCATCAATTCCAATTCATTTTTTGCACTATCAATTCTAAATCCACATAATTTTTGTGCTACCAAACACCAGAATTGGAATTGAAATCCTCAATTCCAATTCCATAGTTTGAATTCCATGTACCAAACAGGGCCTTAGTGTTAGAGACAAAGACCATAATAAATAGAGAAACAAGGAATAAATTTTTTTCTATATATTAAAATCGAAGTTGAACCTCATAGTGGAGGTTGCCTACGTACCCAGTCTAACAAGTTATACGAATTCTGGGATCAAGCCGCACGTAGTTCTTAATTACATCATTAGATCAATTCAATCTTACAAAAAAAAAAAAAAAACTCCGTACGTAGTCTAAATGTAAACAAGAAAGAGTAAATAATGTGTATGTGGTGGACTAATTATTAAAATTGTTCTTCTTCTTCTTCTTCTTGTTGTTGTTGTTCTTGTTGGATCATCATCGTGGTCTTCACCATCGTCCTCCGATCCTCCTCTTAGGGTTTGGGGCCGCAGCAGTGGTTCGGTCGCGGGAGAGGAGCATCATGGTTTCAGAAACGCCGATGCACTGGATCTTTCTCTTGGCCTTGTTTTCCGCAACTTCCGCGTAGCGCTGGCTCAGGTTCCTCTTGGCGGCTTCCAGCAGCTTCTTGTTCTCCGCGGCGGCGGCGGCTTTCTTGAAGGACGACCCAACAGCAGCTTCTTGAATCGGAGTATGATTATTAGGGGCGGCGGGGGCGGGGGCAGAATTATTAGCCGCGGCGGCGGCCAATTGATCATGATGGGGTTTCTTGTTGTTGACAATCTTGATCTTTATCTTTCTAGAACAAGAAACATCTGCGGCGGGGGGTTTGCTGTTGATGTTCTTCTTCTTGGTATCGGTCGGCGCCGGCGTTTGAGGATGATGATCCTCGTTGAAGAGGAGTTTGAGGATGTGGGTCCTCTGGTTCTTGAGCTGGTCGGGGGCGACGACGGAAGCGACGGAGATGGCTTGGCGGATGAAGGTGACGATGTCTTGGTCCTCATCCTCCATCTTGTGCTTCCTCCGGAACACCGCTCCCACGTCCTCCTCCATTACTTCTTTCTTTCTTTCTTTCTTTCTTGTGATTGCGTTGCGGCTAGGCTATAGTGGGATGGCACTCACTCACGTAGTAGTCACGTATATATACTTTGCATTTTGTTTCCTAAAATCTAGGGCTTGCTTGGCTTGCTTAACAATCCGCCTTTGACTCCTTCTTTGACTCTTACTTGGACTATTAACTACGAGTAACACACACTCACTTCCAAATCTATTCCTCTCTCTTTCATTTATTTCTCATTATTAATTACA